TGCCGCACACGAGAGCTATCTGCTGAGCAAAAAGTTACTCGTGCCTGTTAGCTCAGCCGATAGCTCACCGTGTGCGCGTACATTTTACTGAGTTTTTTGCCTCATGCAACCTTTTCTCACGTATCAAACATGTTTGATCGATGAGCTATCAGCTGAGCTAACAGGCACGAGTAACTTTTGGCTCAGCAGATAGCTCTCGTGTGCGGCAGGCTTTAAACTCCCTATTACGCACATGGGATTTGGGTAATGGCCACACCCTGAACTTTGACCAAAGCTTGATGAGCACCCTGACACACATGCCCTTCTACCCCCCCCCCCCCCCCCCCCCCCCCACTAGATCTGGCTGGAACCATGCATAAGCTGATTTGAAGGTCTATTTTCACTTGAAAGGTTCGTTGGGATGACGAGTTGAAACGTGTTGTATCCGAACCAATTGAACTGGCGCAAGAATTCCGTAAGTTTGATCTTCAAAGTCCTTGGGAACAGTTCCCTCTACATCGCGATGCTGAACCAACGCCGTTACTAGATGCAGAGCAGAATGAAGAGAAGAAATAATGTTGAGAAACTCTAAGGTTTTGTAAATATAAAGGTTTAATTGAAGAAAGACGTATTTTTTGGTTACTGTAACAGTGGAGTTTTTCCATATGTTGTTGTAGCCTACGAGAAGGTGTTTTATTAGGCCCACCCGAAAATATAGATTCCGCTCGAAGGCTAACGTGCTTTACCGTTTAAATTTTCAATTTCAATATATGACAGCAAAAATAGCACAATTTATCCCACACATGTTTCATCATTTTAAAATTTGGTGCCTGGGATTAATTTTAAACTCGGGGTCAATCTCGTATCCAGAACCCTGGGACATTTGACAGAGTAATAACAACAATATAAAGCATAAGAGAAAAGGGGAAGGGCTATATGTGGATTTTTGCAGATGGAATATTCGACAGGGTGTCCACGGGCCTTGAAAATCCTGGAAAGTCCTTGAATTGGGAAAAATAATTCCAGGCTGGAAAGTCCTTGAAAATTCGTAGAAGTCCTTGAAAGTCCTGGAATTAACTTCCTTAGCCTCTAGCTGTGCCAGCATTAGTGATTTTGATTAAAATTACTGAATAAACTTATTTGCTGGTTAAAGTCTAAAATCCGTGCCATTTTCAAAGATTTTTTCCAGTTCTAGGTCCTTGAATTTACTGAATAAGGGCCTTGAAAGTGCTGGAAAAGTCCTTGAATTTCACCTTCACCAAAGCGTGCATGGACACCCTGATTCGAACGTACATTGCCACAAACAAGGTGGCAAAGTGATATACAACTCTGGCTTCTAGAAAATACACATGCATTTCGAACGAGTGGTAGCAGTCCTCACTAGCTCGCTATTTGCAGGTTATTGCTTGATCGACGGGCTTCGGTATAAATTATTCTATATTTTCGGCAGAAAAAAGTTTTTCACATATCTGAAAATTTCAAGCGAACTCAGTGTGATGATCATATTTGTCGGTAAGTCAGTTAATTAAAATTAGTTCGTTAAAGTTAACCAGCATAGATCTTTTTAAAAAGTCTGCCTTGTGACGTAGTTAGCGGATAAAGGAAAACCCCGCACAGCCATTTGGCTTGCATGATTGGCCAAATGATCGTATTTATCGGCAAACTACGTCACAAGACAGACTTTTTAAGAAGGTCTGTTACCTCTGATGTTTACTGCTTAGTTTATAGAAAGGCATGTAGATTGGGAAATTATTTGGTTGTAGTCTACAGTAAAAGCTTACATGGTTTAATTTAGTCACCGAATCACACCGTCGTTGAACAGTAAGTCGGAAAGAATTACAAGAGAATAGTTTTGCAATTTAGTTATAATTGTGACACTTATTAATAATATCCATAGCTGTCGCATGCCCAAAACAAGTATATTTCAAAAAGGTGGGAAAAAACTAAGCGGTGTTTATCCGAAATTTCTTGTGACACTTTTTTATAGCTCAGTGGTTTGACGTCACAAACGAATTTTATGAAAACTAAGCGATGTTTATCCGAAATTTCTTGTGACAGTTTTTTATAGCTGATCAGTGGTTTGACGTCACAAACGAATTTTATGAAAGTAAACTGATTGAATATCTAAATTACTAAAACCTGATTATTGACATAATTTTACACCTGATTAATCTACTAACCTGACACCTAAATTACACCAGAAATTTACATAAAAAATATTCATTTTGCCTGCAGTAGGAAATTTGTTTTTAATGCCGTAAGACTGTAACTACTATCATGACTACTTCAGGATTTATCTTGTATGCCTTATCAGTCTTAAAAGAGAGTTTGAGCAAGAGAACGAAGTCGGACGACGACGACGACGTGGTTGACAATTTGTGCCTGTCTTGCACATTATCTTGCGCATTCTGAGTTTAGGGTCAGGAGTGAAGACAGGTTAGAGATTCATGTCTAGCTGTTTGTGAATGCTGACTCAAATCCTTACCCTGATCAGGATAAAACAGCGAGACGTGAATCCATATCCCGTCTTCGTTCTTCTGCCTTCGTTCACAACGAATATTTTAGCAAAATTCGTTGTGAACTTCGTTCTGCACGAAGGCAGAAGGACAAAGATGGGATATATAGTTTCATGTCTCGCTGTTTTTTTCTTGATTTTTGTGAGGGCCACTAATTTATCAGTAGCTCACGCTTACTGTCATGTGTTACCCCCGGTAAATAAAGTCAATGAAATGAAATGAAATGAAAGGGCAAGAATTAGGGTCAGTATTCATAAACAGCGACACATGGGAAGACACGTTGAGCAACTATCAGTGACGTCCAACTCAGTATGCGCAAGATAATGTGCAGACGGCAAAAATTGTCAAGTCTGCCTTCGTCTTCGTACTTCGTTGTCTTGCTCAAACTCTCTAAAGACATACTGCTTCACACGACGACACCGTAAGACAATCACGAACGACAATTTTGTTGTTTTGCCCTATTTATTTAGCGAGCTTAAGATGCACCAAATCTACGCGTCGGACGTGAAGAAAAACTGTAACTATTCTCACAGTTTCACTAGAGGGATAAAACTTATGGCCTCCAGTTGGTAAACAAAGTCAGAGACACAAGTGAAGCAAAATAAAACTGGATTCCAAACATTAGCAACGGTTTTTATGTCACGTCCGCCGCGGTCCGCGTCGTAGATTTGCTGCATCTTAAGCTCGCTCTTAGATCCCTACCTTGCCTTGCTCGACTACAGAAATACTCCTATCCCAAGTTTCCAGAAAGATAAAACTCTGACAATGGGGTTACTAAATTTTACAATGAAGATAAAAGATTGAATTATTAAAATGTTATGCCCCCACTTTAGGCAGTGAAACGCAATAACTGACCGAATATGAGAGTTTTGACACAATACGCAACGGAGTGACGTCATCAATATGAAAAAAAATAAATTAAACGCTATGGCGTCATGCCAGTGACGTCTAATACTTAGGCCTGTTTTGCACGTCGCACTATCGTTGAATTTATAATTCATACGAATTTAATTAATTGAACGAATTAAATGCCACGGTAGTGTATCGTATGAAGTCCAAGATGTTGTATCCGTCATGGTCAGACGGATACAACGTCTGTAGCGCGTCATGCGACGTCTTATATCGTCGTGTCTTTCTGGGGCCGTGGTATAAAAACGTGATTAAAGTTAACTATAGTTAGTGGAAACGTCAACCAATAAGAAGCGCGTATTTGAGAGTTAATCACTATTTAACTACACGATTAAAAAAGTGATTAGAGAGGTTAAGATACCCCGGTTTCGGTGTACGGGTACGAGTAGTGTCATCTTGTTTCACTGATGTCTGTAATTCGATCATACTTTTTCCGTTTTCTTGCACCTTAATTACGAGTAAAGGTACAGACATCGACGAAAATATTTCTAACTAAAATCATGCTACCTGTACACGTACACCGAAACCGGGATATCTTAACCTCTCTAATAAGAGTTTTATACAACTGGCCCCTGATCGCGTGGTTTTTATTTCTGGGTCATCTATGATCGCTGAACATGAAATGAATTCGTCTGAATTAAATCCGACGTATAGGCCTGATTCCACGACGGCGAAATTCTTTGCGAGAAATTGTGTCTGTGCGAAATGCGGATGGTTGCACATGAGCGATTCTGTTGATGTTTGTGATGTTACTCTGAGTATGCATCCACACCGGGCAAGCTGAAAAGTTTGCTTGGCCACGGTGGGAATCGAACCCGCGACCTTTGGGATACTAGTCCAATGCTCTGCCAACTGAGCTACGTGGTCACGTCGGTTCGAGTTGTTGATATTTCGGAACTGAATGTAGTTCCTTCGATATCAGTGTAATCTATGATATGATTTTTTTGTGTGTTGGTGTTATGTACTCAGATGAACATGATGTTTGTGATGTTACTAGTCCAATGCTCTGCCAACTGAGCTACGTGTTAGCTACGAGCTACGTGCTGAGCTACGTTGAATTCGGCCACTTTATTCGCTTCCGCAGTGAGTAGAACTGACTTCATGGAATTGTGACCCACATAACTCCCTCTCGGCAAATTCAATGCCTGACCGAACTGGAGTTTTGACGTAAAATATTCGAAGAAGTGACGTCATAACGTCAATATGACAAATGAATGTAAACGCTATGGCGTCATGCTAGTGACGTCAAAAAACACTGCCACTTACATATATATAGCCAGAAAAAAAGCCTCTTGTTTATTTTCAAAGCCTCAAACCAACATTTCCTATTATTACAAAACCACAGTATACAGTGATACGATACATAGCCACCATTGTGTTAGCTACAGACGAACATGGACGAACTGTTCCAAACTGCTCCAGAAACACCAGAACGCGTACCAGCCGACGTTCAAGGCACCATACCAGACTGGATCAACGGTACTCTACTCCGAAATGCTCCGGCGAAATTCGAATTTGGCCAGCACGCTTACAAACACTGGTTTGATGGCCAGGCTCTCCTACACTCTTTTACCATAGAAAAAGGCGAAGTGAGTTATCACAGCAAGTATTTGGAAACAAAAGCTTTCACTAGAGGCAACGAGCAAAAGAGAATCGTTTATGCGGAATTCGGCACAGCAGAGGTTCCAGACCCGTGTAAAAATATATTTGCTCGATTTTTTTCCTACTTTTGGCCATCCAAACTGTTCAAAAGATCAGATAATACATCAGTGAGTGTTTTTTCCATGAAAGGGAAGATCTTCGCGAACGGTGATTCGCCGTTTATGAACGAGATAGATCCAGATACGTTGCAAGTTCTTGGTGTCGCTAATACAACAACTGATATCGTGATTGAATGTAAGTATTACAGCTGTGTCTAGACTTGTGTCCTATAGAAATGGTAGTCTGTATTTTTTGTTATTGTTGTCATGCTATTTTTGTATAACCATTTCTAATGATTACCCTGGTTTCAGAAGCTCTTTAAAGAACGGCGAGGCAAAGGAATGGCAAAACAAAAGAAACGCGAGGCGAAAGAGCCCAGACGACTGCATTTCGTTCACTTTGTTTTGGCGTGAGGTCGAGCGTGAGATTACGTGCTTCACCGCTAGCTACCGCTTGCGCAAGGCCCGCAAGGCTATCATAAGATCCCTATTCTCGTGCTGGTAACAGCATTATTAAATGTACATTTTGAGGCAATAATAAGCTATTGTACATGTTTATTTTCCAAACCGGTTTGACATATGTTTATATGTAGTTGATCTGCATCTAAGGCTGAAATTAAAGGGCTTGTATTCAGTTACGGAAATTTGTCAGTAGTGACAGTACGTTCTCGTATTTATTTAATTAAAACTCTAAAATCTGATTGGTTGGATCATTGAGGATATGCTAATAGCCACCAAAGCTGACCATATGCAAATGATTATTTGTTATGAGGGACCAAAAGCAAATATCGTTCACATGCATGTCGCATGGAATTAAATATCACAAAATCATTAGCATATTCAGTATTAGCAGAAGGAAACTAAAACAACTGAGTACTGTCGACGTTTTAGTGTTTCCCCCCGGGTTGGCATTCAAAAATTTTCCGTTGAACATGGTCTGTTTGTGTATGTACTTTCAAATATTGCAATTCACAGAACTCAAAACTTAAATCTTGTCAGTCTAGACACCTATGCATGGCTATGCTGTACCTGTGGCCTAACTCATACTACCTACTATCAATTTTGTCGGCGATTTTCTCCTCTTAACAAATGCGAATGAGTAAACTCGCAAGCCAAAAGTATGGAATCGCGTTTTGGACCAATAAATTTCTAAGTCTCTTGCATGTCAGTCACATCCGCCAGGAGGCGAAAAATCGCCGACGAAATTGCTAGTGTGAACCAGGCTTAAATAGAGTCGCGTAAAAATAGAGTCACGATCTTTCTCAACGGACAGTTTATAATAGTTTATACCTGTAAACCACATATAAATCACAAGTATTCTCTCGTTGTAATCACTCCACGTATTTTCAGTTCTAAAATGTTGCATTTCGGCTGATGAGAAAGATCGTGACTCAATCTTTAAGCCTGCAGCACACGAGAGCTATCTGCTGAGCAAAAAGTTACTCGTGCCTGTTAGCTCAGCCGATAGCTCACCGTGTGCGGGTACATTTTACTGAGTTTTATGCCTCATGCAACCTGTTCTCGCGTATCAAACATGTTTGATCGGTGTCAAATTTTTCTTTTTGGTCAAAAATACTTCATGACACCCCCCCCCCCTTTTTTTGCCAGCCCACCCCCAGTCATAAATAATGAATGGTCCCTTATGGTTTAGGTTTAATACACGCTTCCGGGAAGTACGTTACTTTGGCTATAGAGCCTCGTTTTCGTAATTGAGACATTGGGCTTTAACTAATAGCCAAAGTGACGACGTGACGTACATTCTGGAAGGGTGCTATCGAGGTGGCTCCCCACAATTTTTCAAATATGGAAAATGTATTACTTAGATGAAACTTTGTGACAAATTATTACTTGATGTTTGTGATGTTACCCTGAGTGTATATCCAACCGGGCGAGCTTGAAAAATATGCCTGGCCACGGTGGGAATCGAACCTACGACCTTTGGAATACTAGCCCAATGCTCTGCCAACTGAGCTACGCGGTCAGGTCGGTTCGAGTATGTGGTATTTTGGAACCGAGTCTAGTTCCTTCGATATCAACCTAATGCAATCTAGAAATCATGATTTTTTTCTGTGTTGGTTAGTAAACAAAAATTGTGTGACTTAATTGTATAGGACAACGTTCTATGGAAATAGTTGACAAAAATGATATCACTGCCATTGCTGTTTCAACTGATGGCCGAGATTTTGATTTTCAACTGCTCTGCGAGGCTGAATTCTGAATTCTTCTGAGCTAACAGTAATCCTTTCTGTCTCCACAGCTGCCAGGTTAGTATACGCCTGTGCTCACCCACACGAAGAGACCGACGGTAACATTTACCACATGATGACATCAGTTGGCCTACAACCCTGTTATAACATCGTGCAAGTACCCCCCACCGAACAAGCAAATCAGATCGAGACTGAAACCCCACTGGAAGGGGCCAAAATCATCGCCACCATCAAACCCCACAAGAGCACAACTTACCACCATAGTTTTGGAATAACCCCCAACTATTTCATCTTTGTTGAGAATCCGTTCAGTATCAGCACTTATGAAGTGTTAAGAATGAGATTTGATCAAAGCTGTTTCCACAATTGCATGCACTGGGATCCGAGTGAGCTTTCCAGGTACATGCTATTTTTGCGATGTGAATGACAATGTAGGTGAGTTGTGTGCTTGATTTACACAGTACAACTTAAGTCGTAAACAGGTTCAATGCGTCAGTTTTAGACAAAAGTTGTGCAGTGTAAATCAGCCTTATATCAAGCACACAATTAACATGTCCTTGATTTACACAGTACAACTTGTTACAAGTTGTAAGCAAGTTGCATGCAACAGTTTTAGGAAAATGTTGTGTAGTGTAAATCGGCCTTCAAAGATAATTACAAAGTTTATATTGCATGTTTATATTAGATTTTATTTGGTCGAGCGAAAATCTGGCGAATGCGTAGGAAGTTACGAGGCGTATAGTTTCTTTTCGTTTCATCACGTGAACGCATATGAGGATAATGATGGTCAAGTGGTAGCAGATTTGTGCTGTTATCCCGATGCGTCCATCATGGATCTGTTTTACCTCCATCATCTACGTAATTCCAAGATAGACAAGGTAATTTATTTTTTAAGTAAATCGTTGATTTCAGTTATAATAACACAACTTTATCTATTAGCATTTTTTCAGGGCTTTTATAAGACTTTTAACCCAGTTTGGTCATTCCTACCCCCTTCAGATGCACCTAATACACTTAATTACTATTGCCAGAAACAATTTTTTCTCCCCTCCCCGGGCGGCAGAAATTTCCAGTGTGGGGGGGGGGGTGTGGAGCTTTTCTGGAACGACCCACTGAGCGCCAGGGCTCTCTGGACTTCTAAGGTCCATTTCTATCTACAAAAGCCCTTCAACATCGTGTAATTGTAAATAGTACCTATACTCTAAACTCCAACGATTCCATCATACGTGTTTAATTTAGGTTACTGAAAATTTTGCTAACGCAGAAGTAAGACGTTACCGCTTACCTATACCTGGGAAAGCCGTTTCCCGTTCCCACTCCCCCCGGTTACCATATGAAATCCTTGGCAGTGATCTTGAGATGCCTGGTATCAACTATCGTTTCAACGGCCAGCAATACAGATACATCTATGGCACAGGTTGAAGTATTGTTGATATTTACCAATAGACCTTAGAAGTGCTTACGTCACGCAATTTTGAAATGCATAGCCATAGGACTTCTAGAATACACGGTGCATTGTGGCAGGGTTCGTAGCGGTCTTTGTAATCATTGGAAGTCTTTAAATTTGAATTCAGGTCTTTAAGGTCTTTGAAAAGTCTTTGAATTGTGTGGAAAAGCGAAGAAAATCTTTAAAAGTCTTTAAATTCTTTAGTGAGTATTTGATTATACGATTTCCTAGCTAATAAAATAGATTGTAAGATTGAAGCAAGATTCTCGCAAATATCGACGAAAAGGTGCATTTTAGGATGTGATTTGAAGGGACTAATTACTGGGTAAAAGTGGTGCTTACACTCGCAATTTTTCGACAGCTGATTGCTCTCAAAGGTATTTGAAAAGTCTTTCGGAGTAGGCAGAAAAGATCTTTGAAAGTCTTTGATTTTTTTGGCCTTGGAGACTACGAACCCAGCTGTGTGGGATACTCGTGGGTCAATAATTCATTGTTTGAAAAGTACGCGACGCTTATAAGCACTTCTAAGATCCATTAACAATATTAATACCTTTGTGACTTCACGACAACTAGGTATATATCAGACATGTTTTCGCATGTTACTCTGGTTTTAGTAAATGAATGCAAAGACCAGTCAGGACCTAACGTTTCGACACTCCAATCTAGTGTCTTGTTGCCCTGATGAAGACACTAACTGGAGTGTCGAAATGAATGCAGTTTGGCTGGGCAGGGCAGCGAGCGAAAACATTAATATTAATACCATTAGCCGTTTGCACAACGTTCCAGTGATCGGGATGTTCCATTCTCTTTTCATTGTCTTGAAAATCCCACTGTTCTCCATACCATTCAGTCAACTCACTGTTATCTAGAAGAGCTCATTTTTGAAGTTTGAGGATTTTATTGATACGTATATCTTTGCTAGGTCCCTATGAACACGGCCATTTCCTTGACCAGCTTGCGAAGTTAGACACGGTCTCGAAAGTGAAAAAGACCTGGTACGAACCTGGATGCTTCCCGTCCGAGCCGGTGTTTATAGAAAGACCTGGGGCCAAGGATGAAGACGATGGCGTCGTCCTATCTGGTGTCGTCGGCACGGGTGGTCAGCGATCTTTCTTACTCGTTTTGGATGCAGCAAATTTTACGGAGTTGGCTAGAGCAATCATTCCAAGCCACCTGCCACAGTCGTCACATGGGTGTTTTATTCCGAATCTCAGTTCTAGGTTACAGGCGAAGAAACCTGAACCAAATTATAAATAAATAAAAGGTTAAGAGACTAACATGAAAAACCACAGATCTGTTTCGAGAAGATCTCCAGATCCTTTCTCATCAGGTACATAAAAACATATCCCAAATTCTCTTAATAAATACTGTTCGTTTATTATACTAATCGTTAATTTACGCATTTATTAGTACATACTCATTTGCATGCCGGAATGCACTAGCGAGCTCGTTTCTTTTATTGGCCCGCTACCTCCACAAAAATATAATCTACAGGCATGCTACTCATGCTCAAGTACGCGGCACTAATCACTGGAGTACCAATGTGGTACAGCTGAAAGTCTTGAATTATTGTACCGGGTCTATTAATTCAAAAATAGCTCAAATCATTAAAAATATGCAACCACGTCTATGATTGAAAGAGTTATCTTAAGCTCACACGTGCATCAAGTCCAATACCTTTCCAAATATTACCTAAGCCATCCATTAATCTGATTTTATTTCACGCTTTACATTCATTATAATCAACATCTGATAACTTCACGTGTTTTCAAGTAGAATCAGGTACCGTAAATCAGGGATTATATCACTAAGACGAACTCGCAATATTATATCATCTGCCAGTATTAGTTTAACTATTTAGCCGGGACTGTAGTTTCTACGTTCACAGTGTAATACATATAGCCACAGACGAACATGGACGAACTATTCCAAACCGCTCCAGAAACTCCAGAACGCGTTCCGGCCGATGTTCAAGGCACCATCCCAGATTGGGTCAATGGTACTCTTCTCCGAAACGCTCCGGCCAAATATGAATTCGGAAAGCACGCTTACAAACACTGGTTTGATGGCTTGTCATTACTTCATGCCTTTATCATAGAGAAAGGCGAAGTGAGTTATCACAGCAAGTATTTGGAAACAAAAGCTTTCACCAAAGGCAGTGATAAAAACCGAATCCCTTATGCCGAATTCGGGACTGCAGAAATGCCTGACCCATGTCAGAATATATTTGCTCGATTTTTTTCCTACTTTCGGCTGCCCGAAAGAACAGATAATACTGCAGTGAATATTTTCACCATGAAAGGGAAGATTTTCGCGAACAGTGATTCACCGTTTATGAACGAGATTGATCCTGATACGATGAAAGTTCTCGATTTTGCGAATGCGAAAACCGATATAAAATGTAAGTATTGCTGACTAGACCTTGTGTAATAGAAATGGTATAGTTTGTACTTTTGTTATTATTCTTGCTGTTTTTCTTTTTTGGCAAGCATTTTTAACGGTAATTAAGCATTGTTGGTAAAAAATAGGCATGGTTTGGGGGCCAACCCGACAAATTTCAAAGATTTACAGAAACTCTAGCTGATATTGAAACAGACCTTTGGTATAAGTTTAATATAGAAGCTTCTTTTATAAGGGGATATTGAAATCATCCCAAGTGTTGGTGTAGTGTACTCAGGTGAATAAGATACTTGTGATGTTATACTCTGAGTGTGTATCCACACCGGGCAGGCTAGAAAAATATGCCTGACCACAGTGGGAATCGAACCTACGACCTTTGGAATACTAGCCCAATGCTCTGCCAACTGAGCTACGCGGTCAAGAAGGTTAGGGTGGGCTAGTATTCCAAAGGTCGTAGGTTCGATTCCCACCGTAGTCAGGCATATTTTTCAAGCCTGCCCGGTGTGGATATACACTCAGAGTAACATCACAAGCATCCCAAGTGTATTCTGAGCATACAGCATTCTTTTCTATCTCCACAGCTGCCAGGCTGGTATACGCCTGTGCTCACCCGCACGAAGAAACCGACGGTAATGTTTACCACATGATGACATCGATTGGCCGACAAACCGGGTACAACATCGTGCAAGTACCCCCCGTCGAACGAGCGAATCACATCAAGACTGAAACCCCCCTGGAAGGGGCCAAAATCGTCGCTACCATCAAAGCTGCTCACAGAAATTCCACTTACTATCATAGTTTTGGAATAACCCCCAACTATTTCATCTTTGTTGAGAATCCGTTCAGTATCAACGGTTTCGAAGTGTTAAGAATGAAAATTGATCAAAGGTCTTTCCATGAATGTATGCATTGGGATTCGAAAGAGCCGTCAAGGTACATATTAGAGAGGTTCAGGTTCGACTTCCGCTACCACTCTCACTGGCTTAGATCGCATCTGATTGGTCAATCGGATATATGAAACGTATCTGATTGGACAGATTGGTTAATAGTCCCTTTAATGGTAGCAGTAGTACTGCTGAAAGGGAGTCTGTAAAGGGAGTCTGTTGTGGAAGTCAAATCTGAACCTGAACTTTCTATTAATACCTGTAATGCAGTATAGTAATATATATCCATGAAAAATTATTCTATAATTGGCTGAGAGCAGTACAATTTTATCGAAATACAATGTAAAAAATATTCAGTGCCGGCAAGCGTCTAAACAAAACTCAAAAGACGTTTCGAAAAAAGTTTGGAATTTTGACAGTACGTTGAAAACTTGTATTAAGTGTTGTGCCATTGATTCTGATCGTCTTTAAAAACTCGCTCGTGCTTGTTTTTCTCTGACTGGAAACCATGTTATGTCTGCTATCGTGCGGACAGAGAAACGGACAAGACACACGCACATACAAAATCAACAAGCTCGTTCACAATCATAATTTTCCTTCTGTTTTCTTCGTGAACTATTTATGAGAAGTACAGTATTTATCCACTATTAACTGTGATTTATCATGTACGTTTACAGATTTTATTTGGTCGAGCGAAAATCTGGGGAATGCGTAGCCAGTTACGAGGCGCACAGTTTCTTTTCGTTTCATCACGTGAACACATATGAGGATATTGATGGTCAAGTGGTAGCAGATTTGTGCTGTTATCCCGATGCGTCCATCATTGATATGTATTACCTCCATCATCTACGTAATTCCAAGATAGACAAGGTAATTTGTTTCAAATAAATTTTGAAAGAGTAAATTGATTGCGCTAATTTCGCACATGATATATTAGACATTGTTCTTAATTTAGGTTGGTGAACATTTTGCTGACCCAGAAGTGAGACGTTACCGCTTACCTATACCTGGCAAGGCTGTATCCAGTTTCCACTCCCCCCGGTTACCATATGAAATCCTTGGCAGTGATCTTGAGTTGCCTCGTATCAACTATCGTCTTAATGGTCAGCAGTACAGATACATCTATGGCACAGGTTATTAAATGTTGATATTTACCAATTTACAATACTACTTACACGGTGGGCCTTTTCCATATACCATCCAGTCACGATCCAGAGATCGGGATGTTTTATTCTCTTCTCGTTGTCTTGAAAATCCCACTGTTCTACATCTTCATACAATTTAAAGTTGGCAAGAAAAAAATCTTCACGAATCGAAGACGCTTAACAAAGAGGGGGTCGCCGTTCTTTCCAAAAAATCATTTCAAATAATTTTACTTGAGTAAATACACCGCAATCATTACATTTAATGGACCTATTACCTAATGAATAAAATTTTGATCTAGACAAGGCACAATTTTCTCAGAAAGCGGTATCAATTTCCCGCGCGTAATACAAAATGACTGAAAAACGGCAAACTTCGCAGGGCTATATTATCCGCATTTTACAACATTTCGCAACGAAACTTCGGGATATTATTAATTTTGTGATGCTCTTTCAAGCTGTGGTGAAATGTTTGTCTGGACTTGTTTAGATCAAAATTTTGTTCATTAGGGAATAGGTCCATTACAAGTTACTAAATTACTAGATATGTGCTGACCCAAGGTCAAGTAAATCAGTTTTTCAGAAGATTTTATTCCGATGTATATCTCTGCTGTTTGTCCCCATACAGGTCCCTATGAACACGGCCATTTCCTTGACCAGCTTGTGAAGTTAGACACGGTCTCGAAAGTGAAAAAGACCTGGTACGAGTCTGGATGCTTCCCGTCCGAGCCGGTATTTATAGAAAGGCCTGGGGCCAAGGATGAAGATGATGGCGTCATCGTGTCAGGTGTCGTCGGCACAGGTGGTCAGCGATCTTTCCTACTCGTTTTGGATGCAACAAATTTTACGGAGTTGGCCAGAGCGACCATTCCAAGCCGCTTGCCACAGTCGTTGCATGGGAATTTCTTTCCGGATCTTAGCTATAAATTGAAGGCGTTCTACGCGGGCAGACGGGAACCGAGGCAAATGGAAGATGCACAATAATTGATATTATAGACTCTAGTCGAGAAATGTAGTTCACCAACCTTTGGTTGTGAGAAAATGCTCCTGTTGTTGACTTTTTACAGCTAGAGTAATACAGGAATAGCTTCTATTTCATCACGTAGCGTCTCAACTTTTCAGTTTAGAACACAAACTAACTCTGTTTTACGGCAGGAGCGTAATATATTGCTAGTATAGTAATCCCAAATACATAATATTATATCTACAACTACTGAACTCATACTATGCATTAGGTTGATTTACAAGTTTAATGAAACACTTTAAAAGAAAATTGAAGAAGTTCAAGAACAAAAAGTATGTCAAGTGAAGTATGCACGTAATCTGCCAATCTGTATAAACTACACTATATTCAATTCTAGACAGTCTTTCCACTCGATAAGTTCCATTTATACAATATCCTTCAGCTTCAATAATAACGGTTTATTGACCGAGGTCTGTACTGCGAAATATCAGACCGAGGTTTTTTAGTATGGACCGAGCGACGAAGGAGCGAGGTCCATGCAAAAAAAACCACAGAGGTCTGATATTTCACAGTACAGACCGAACAAGCGAGGTCAATAACCGGTTTATTATATGGCTGAACTGAGTCTGTGAGCATATGCTTTAATTTTCACGCGAATTAAATCGGCTATCGTCAGTTTCACTGGGTAACAATATACGGTAGACATGCATGCTCAATCAAAACAATTTGGTTGTTTGAAATTTTTTCTGTAAAGCACAATTAGAAATTTAAAAAGCAAAACTTTTTTTTGTTTGCAAAGCAAAAATCTCCCGCCAGATAAACGACATCCGGGACACCGGTCCAGATACGGAAAATACGGACCACGGTCCGGATATGGGTTTACGGACCGCTTGTCAACCAATCAGAATAGAGAATTTTGAAAAGCCATATAATAATAGCCGTTAATGTATTGTTGTTATTTACCTGTTATTGTTGATACTTATTTACCTTAGTCACATCTTCGTTCTTGCCACTTTTCATCTGAAAAGCAAGGGATAGAAATACTCTGATTTAGTAGTACAGTTTGCGTTTCTAATAGGCCTTTCCCCTTATAACCAAAATTTTGATCTAGGCAAGTCTAGGCAAATATTTCATCACAGCTTGAAAGAGCATCACAAAATTAGTAATATTCCAAAGTTTCGTTGCCGAATGTTGTAAAATGAGGAAAATAGAGCCTTGCGAAGTTTGCAATTTTCAGTCATTTTGCATTACAAACGGGAAATTGCAGCCCCAACACCCGAATCGGATGTCAATTTCCCGTTTGTAATACAAAATGACTGAAAAACGGCAAACTTCGCAAAGCTATATTATCCGCACTTTACAAGATTTTGCAACAAAACTTTGGAATATTACTAATTTTGTGATGCTCTTTCAAGCTGTGATGAAATTTTTGTCTAGATCGAAATTTTAGTTATAAGGGGAAAGGTCCATTGCGTCGTTGTCGTAGCTTAGTAATAGAGAGCCGGGATTGGTCCGTACTAAGACACAAGCATGAGCATAACATAATTGCAAGCATAATGAGAGATCGTTTGTATTCTTTGGTTTGTATTACACACGTAAAAACGCACAAGTTGTAACAAGTCTGCAAACAAGTTGTTACAAGTCTGTTCACAAGCTGTCAACAAGTTGCGTTCGCACTGCTTGTTCCCAGTTTGTTGTAACAAATTTGAAACAAGCTGTTAACAACTTGTAACAAGCTTGATGGCATTATCAGCCTCGTTACAAGACTGTGCTAACAAAGTTTGTTACAGTCATGATATAGCAAGAAACTTACAAGGTTATCAACACAAGGTTGTAACAATCTTGTTATATCAAGCATGTAACGGACTTGTCATAACAACCTTGCAACAAGTCTGATAATTTCAACAAGGTTGTTACAAGTTGTCAACAAGTTGTTCCAAACCTGTTGACAACTTGTGACAAGCAGTGCGAATACATCTTGTTGACGGCTTGAAAAATACATCTTGTTGACGGCTTGTTGGCAGACCTGTTACAAGATGTGAGATTTTACGTGTGTAATTTCCCGTGTACCACGCAAGCTTATGCATGATCAATATCACAAGGTTGTGTGGGTGACATGGCCATGCTCCATCATATTTCTCGACGTTTCGAGATTCTAAGATTTAAACTGCTGGTGAGAATCTCTCTGAATATGTCTCTGTAAGTATGCATATGTTTTCGTTTTCAAAAAGATACAGCATTCTTCGTTTTAGAGTTGCGTTTCCCTAAAATGCTATATTATAGAAGTTTCTGTCGGAAGTATCGAGTTTCAAGTGGCATCGATTAAGAAGAATACAATTTCGATTGCACTTCCGACACCGGCGTGCTAGCTCGAGTTCGACTGAACTTTAGACAATAACACTAAAATATTTTATATACCGTTCCAACAATTTTTACCACAGACAACCTGCTTTTCGCGTCCACAAACAATGTCTAAAGACAGCAAACCAGGCGATGGAGACTCTAGCGGCGATGAACAGGACGAGACGAGCACTCCGGAATATTACTACAATAAAAGTAAAATTCCGACTTACAAAGTCATACTTCTGGGAGAAGCTGGCTCGGGGAAAACCAGCCTGTTTTGGAGGTATAAATACGGCTCGTTCAATAAGGGCACTACGCTGCAAGGCACGGATAGATTTAAGAAAGAATTTGTCAGCGATAATGGAGAGAAAATGCAAGTATGTTTTGATTTCTATGTTTGTCAGTTTGTGTTTGTAATATTTGAGTAAGTATATAGGTGTAAAAGTATAGCAATATAGCATTACATCTAATTGTAGAATTTGCTAATGATTTGTTTTTGTGTTGATATCACATTATCGGTGTGAATAACCAACAGATTAGCATTTAGCTCGCTAAATTGCTATTTAATAGTTCATTTCAAGACTCCAAAAGCAAATCCGAAACCAAATCGTAGCGATGTTTAATTTGTCTTAATTCTTAACTTGATTTTAAAATGTGAAGAAAATTAATGTCGGACAATGAGAACTAAGGTTTATACAGTTCCAAACAATTGCAGCCATTTATGGTTAATAACATCCGTTTTCCCATTCTTCGTGGAAAATGTAGCTATTACAAGTACGTCAGTTTCTATGAATTTGAGAAGTTCGATCATTTTTTCAGCATTGAGATTTGAGAAATAAACTGACCATTTCAACAGTGGAAAGTGGTTTACACTATCAAAGTTTCTGTGATCACAGTAGGAATTTTGCATAGGTAAATTCTAAGGTTTGACAGATTTGTAAGAAACGCGGTATGTGTCATATATGGCATGTTCCGCTTGGCCGGTGTTTTCATTGTGATGCAACACGAATCGAAAGCGTTTCAAGTGCCCACGCTGTTTCTGCTATTACTTATAGCTCTTCTACTAATCAGTATTTGCATGTTCGTCCTATCATTTTTGCCCAGTTTTAACAATACAACTTTGAGAAATTTGCATATAATGACAATGTTATCACTGGCTCATTTGAAAAAACGCTGTATAAGGTGGGCTATACACTTGTGGGAGGAGGAGGGGGGTCATTTTTGGGCTTATGAAAAAACTAGTTCCACAACATGAGCGGCCGTGTTGTATCGGAACTGTCGGATATACAAACTTGAGCCGAAAACGACAGTTTGTATATCCGATACAATATGGAGGAATGTTGTAAGTGGCTTGTGAAACGTCTTGTTGAGAACATTCGTATTCTAAAATAAATGAATGATATATTTGGTGTGAAAATTGAACTTAAAGTTTATGTAAATCAGTATATGATTTCTGTATCAGATAAACAAACTCCTTTACGCTCATGATTTCGTTTGTGTTTTCGTCACTGGAATTGACCATTTGCGTAATAGACTAAATTTTGAACTAAACAAGTCTAGACAAAAATTTCATCACAGCTTGAAGGAGCATCACAAAATTAGTAATATTCCAAAGTTTCGTTGCAAAATGTTGTAAAATGTGGAAAATATAGCCTTGCGAAATTTGCAATTTTCAGTCATTTTAGATTACAAATGGGAAATTGACAGCCCCAAACCCTTCGAGGCTGTCAATTTCCGGTTTGTAATCTAAAATGACTGAAAATTGCAAATTTCGCAAGGCTATATTTTCCGCATTTTACAACATTTTGTAACGAAACTTTGGAATATTACTAATTTTGTGATGCTCTTTCAAGCTGTGATGAAATTTTTGTTGAGATCAAAATTTAGTCTATTACGCAAATGGTCAATTGGTGATTCTAGATATAGACTAAATTTTGATCAAGGCAAGAAGAACGAAATCCAACGCCACAGCTAGAAAGAGCATCTTAGAATGAGTAAAACTGCAATGATTGGTTGCTAAATGTTGTAAAATGAAGAAAATATAGCCTTGTGAAGTTCGCAAATTTTGTATATATTTGCATCACGCGCGGTAAAAATAACCACTTTCGGCTCAAAAGTCAAAAATGGTTATTTTTCCCGCGCGTGATGCAAATATATACAAAATTTGCGAACTTCACAGCGCTATATTTTCCTCATTTTACAACAATTCTCAACCAAACTTTGCAATTTTACTCATTTTAAGATGCTGCTTCCAGCTATGGTAATGGATTTCGTTCTTCTCGTCTCTTGCTGGAATCATTCATTATTAAAGAGTTTCACAACTTGTTTCGTAGATGATACTATGGGACACGGCAGGTATGGAGAGAATGGGATCCCTAACTTTCCATTATTACCACGGAGCACACGCGGTGATACTAGTATTCGCTTTAAACGACTCTACAACCTTTGACTCTCTTACAACGTGGAACGACGACGCCTCGCGCTATTCGTCGCCAGAAGTGAAACGCTTCCTAGTCGCAACAAAATCTGATGTTGAAAAGGACCAAGTGGACGTCCCTAAGGAGAAAATAAACTCGTTTTGTAGAAATAAAAATATTTCTGAAATTTATTACACTTCGGCAAAAACGGGCGACGGGATTGATGAAATGTTTCAAAGTGTCATGAAATCTCTGTCGGGTTCTCTTGACAAACAATCGCAAGATGACGTATGGGCGCTCGCTTTTCCAGCCAAAACGAAAAAGAAGAAAAGTTGCTCTTGTTAATTGTAACAATTCGGATCGGAGCTTAGTTGTATCATATTGTTTTCACCGATTTAATATATTTAAATCAACTAATATATTTTGGGAAGAAAAATTGGATATTTATTTAAGTTTAAAACCTTAACATTACTAGGTCCCTGAAAGGATAATGTTTCATCTTATTGGCCGTCTGGATCGTCGGCTGTTCTTCTTTCCATCCTCAAGAGAAGGATACAGTCGCCCCCCGCGCGTGCTCACAGAAACGATACCCCAATCTGAGAATACCCAAATTACAGTTTTGTCGGAAATCCTACAGGCTTACTCTACCACATGCAGAAAAAGTGAATTTTCGCCACTGTAAAGGTCTACTTATATCTACAGGAGTTACCTTCCGTTAACCTAAATAGTGACGAAATTATTTTCACAAAGAACGCAGTGTCACTGAATTTGAACTATAGTTATTTGATGTAAATAAAAGCAGTCTGAGAATAACTTCCATGTCGTTTGTGTAGCAACGTTTTATAATACAGACTTTTGCTAGAGGTATCTTTCAAAGCACATCTCTTGTCCCTATGGTTACGATGACATACAGCCACTCCAATACCTTGAAAAAGATGGCAAATCGTATTAATTTATTATTTAAGAAGAGAATCATTTGTATGTTATGTAACACGCGCTAAAAACTCATGAATATAATATATATACTCTTCCACTGGTTATATGACTATATTCGAATTTTAGAATTTTTTTTTTTAGTTCTTGATACGTTTCACAAGCGGCAAACAAACTTAAAAAGTATGCTTCTCTATTTTAGGACCTCTATTCAAGGTCTTAAAATAATTGAAGAGAAAGAACAACCTTTACAATCAATATTTGAGCAACACTTCAATTGGAACGACAGTAAATGGTTAGACTTTCGCGTCTTCTCGGATAAGGACGTTCAATCGTAGGTACATCGGATTCCCTATCAACTGGGCAATCTCTGTTGGGGAATTTGCTCACCAACGAGTCAGAAACGATAAACAATAACGTACAATAAACTAAAACTTACCTAAAGCGTAGTCTTGTGGATGACAGCTGCCATCACTGGAGTCGCCTATACACCCAATCCTACACACATGTGTTCCATGGTACTTGCTGGGTGGGTGCGCCAAACTGCATAGGTCACCCAAGTTTATACCACACCATTCCTGGAATAAAAGTATACAGTCAATTAATGTCTAACAAAATTCATGTTTTATTTTGATGCGCTAAAGTTATATTTTTAAAACCCTATACACCAAAAACTTTTATCAAGCTGCAGTGCCAATCGCGGTCAAAGCTGTAGTGCCAGTCGCGTTCAATCATCTCCAGTTTCCTAATTTGCATATCGTCCGTTATTCGTAAGACATTAGATATTTCGTTGTCATACACATGAAGCGCCTTTGACCTGAGCAAAGCATTTACGGAAAGTGTTTGCATAGACTGCACAGTAGCGTAGCCAGCCCAATTACGATTTAGTCCCGCTATGCAAAAATTTTCGTGTTCATTGACTGTGAAAAAAATCAATTTCTAAAGAGATGAATGATGATAATAATTTTGAATTTGCATAGCGGGACCATAGATATCTTATATACACTAGATAGTGCATCTAATTATTCTGCAATTCAAAAATTGAAGCCGTGATTGCAGACTCAGGATATTCCCATGAAATGAGAAGACTCGTATGTTTTCTATTTCTTAAACAGGGAACTTAAACATTAAGTTAAACCTATTCCAAATACATTTTCAAACTGTTCAAATGATGAAAGTTATTGTTGTTTTTTAAACGTTTATTAGCGAGTGGGAAACTCCAACATGGCCGCCTATTCAAATGGGGGTAACCGCTGGAATATTCTTGGCTTCAATTTTACTTAAAGAGATGCGCTATCTAGTGTATATAAGATATCTATGAGCGGGACTAAATTGTCGGGCTGGCTACGCCATAGAGACTGCATGGATATTGATAAACATAAATGGTAGTTCGTTGTCAAAACCTTAATGGCGCAATGTGCGGGCAAATTTTCCATGTTCGTTATTACGCACATTTAAGGAACACTTCAAAGGACAGATTAGGATACCAGGAACATCAAGCACTTTTTCCAAGCGAGAAAAAAATTTCGATTTTGAAATTTTTCATACAAAATCCCGATATACTGTATGTAAAAATTCAATATCTATTACCGTCTTCAGTTCAGATACATCCAATGCTTTACCAAACTTCCCCATCAACGATTTGAACGTATAATGTTCCGATGTTTCCACAGCGAACTGTGTCTTGAATAAACTAGCAAGCGTCATCTCTTTATTGTGCGTAAACGTTGCGCAGTGCTCGTGAGGGCCACTAAAACATGCCATTAATTGATTACTTATGATATTTCCCCAACCATAGTTCTTCATGGAATTGGTCTTTGTTAAATCTGTCCCTTCTTCCTCGTTAATTAAATCAGAGTTCGTCCAAGTTGGACTGATACCAGCAAAGTCATTGGTATGTCCATCTACTCTGGCTACCAGCGTCCAACCACCACGGTTAGCACCATTTTCCTTTACCATTTCACAGTGCACCTAGAGGATGGTTGGTACATTGTGGTGAGGTGTTGGTAGTTCACACTTCTGTGAACGGGGTTCGATCCCTGCAATATGCAGTTATCTGATTGTAATCTCGTCGCAGTTGCATGTGGGAAAAGTGATTTCATTCGCACTCTACCAGGTTTTACACTGCGAGTTTCTCGGGTACTTATAGGTATTCTGATGTTGCTGTATAATCATTAAAGGCACCATTACACTATCACATTTTCTGTGATCACAGTGGGAATTTTGCATAGGCAAATTCTAGGTTTCGAAGGATTTGTAAGAAATGCTTGAGGGAACTGAATCCTTGTTTACACATGAGTCAGTTGACTCAGTTCCCTCAATCATTTCCTACAAATTCCTCAAAATGCAAAATTCCTCTGTACTGTGATCACAGAAACTTTGATGGTGTAAGCCAGCCTTGACACTGGTCAAGTGATCGATGCCTCTTGCTGGAACTCCGCGGAGACCGTATTTTAAAATTGATCAACTTATATTCAAGCAATAGAAATAAAGTTGGTCATTTAGTTGTTCAGTTCATCAGTGTGTTAATTACTTAGTTATGGGTTAGTATGTTACTCAATTGTTTAGTTAGTAAGTTATATTAGTTAATTAGTTAGTCAGTATTTTAAACAATTAGTTAGCCAGCTAGTTAGTTACTTGCTTATTTTGTACGTTAGTTAGCTAATTAGTTAGCTAGTTAAATAATTAGTTAGCTGCACTTAGTTAATTAGTTACCGTAGTTAATTAGTTCCTCATTTTGTTTTGATTCATATATGACGATAATGAAATAAAGTGCCTTATAATAAACAGTAACGTCAATAATTAGCCATTCCGAAGTTGATGAGTGAACTGGGGACGAGTGTTAAAAAGTGCCCAAATTAAGAAATGAACCAAATCACTAAAAAGACCACCTCAAAATTAGTAAGTATGCAAAGTTTGAAGACGTTTACATGAATACCCTTCGAATAATAAGCTTTCGAAAATTGTGATATTTACTATGAAATGTACTTTTCACAATTTTTGAAAGCTTATTATTCGAAGGGTATTCATGTAAACGTCTTCAAACTTTGTATACATACTAATTTTGAGGTGGTCTTTTTAGTGATTTGGTTCATTTCTTAATTTGGGCACTTTAATACTCGTTCCCAGTCCTCTCATCAACTTCGGAATGGCTAATTGTAAAAGGGTTTTGTAGATGGAAATTTCAAGTGGAATTTTTATATATTTCTTAGACCTAAGTAGGAGCAGTTGCGAAAAATGCAACTATCAGCCCTCTGACAGGAATCGAATCTGCGGCTCTGCGATTCCGGTACAACGCTCTAACCAACTGAGTTACAGAGAGACAGTTGTCTAGCTCTAACCACAAGTTCATGTATAAATACTGAGGTGATGACAATGTACGGTGTATGGGTAACGTCAATACAATGTAGTTAACATGTCCTTCTATATACCTGATAAGGTTCATGAGGTGTCTTCAACCAATGAGGACCGCTATTCGTGTTTGGGTTTAATGCATATATCTCTTGACACGACCACGCAGGGTTTTCACGAGTGCCCAGAGGAATAGGTGTTGGAGTGGGCCTAAATGTACGGTACATATGAGTCAACTAATTAGTACATAGAAGTTCTGGTGTGAGAGTATTTTTCATGAACGTACAAATGAATTAAAGACGTCTATGTTGGTATTAGGTATATTTGGGTGTTAAGAAACATCACACGATAAGGGACGGACCGTTATTTTCCAGAAGGGGGGATAAACGTTTCTTCAACACAAGCAATTTTTTGTTTATCGCTGTCTTTGCAAACAATTTTTCGCGGCTGCTTCTTGACGCTTCACCAGCACATGTGGCCTGTTCGATCCTGGGTCGGACCTCTACTCAAGGTCTTAAAATAACTGAGGAGAGAGGGTAGCGATACCTTCACACTGACAACAGTAAATTCCTGACTTAGAAGTTACATCGTAGATACCTCGGATCCCCTATCAATGACGTAATAGCCTGCTGGGAAATATCCGCTCATCCATGAGTGAGAAATTCATTAATCAATAAACAAAACAGCTTATCAAGTTTACAAAAGCTACTATTTTTTCGCTTCTCATAATGTGCAAATAATTTATTTGGACTTTTTCGTTCTTGCAACCTTTTTTGTTCTTTTTGTTTTCGTTTTTTTAAGGATTTCTCACCCCGTCCTCCTCCAAAAAAATAGACAAATTTAGATCGCGAACGTCAAAGACGACGCGTGAGAATGGCGTGGCATATCCATACATGGGCACAACACGCCATTTTCACGTCGTCTTTGACGTCCGCGTCCTTGATCTAAATCTGTCTAATAATGGTCGACGTGACGACGTCCGTCCCTAAAATAGTCTTAAAACAAAACTGACACATTCGGTTTAACGCATTACTTTTGCTTGGTACTGGCAAAATACCTCAGTCACTAACAAATTATTACCGTACTGGCTTAAATTTTTACTGAAAACTTACACCATTAACATTCACGAATTTCTTACCTTGGGACAGCTGGGACACAAGGGGTGGGTGGGGGACACGGTGGTTGTGGTGGACATGGTACAGGTTTTGTACAAAAACGACCATGTTTATTCACTTCAATCATAGTCTGGCCATCCTTACCATCACGTCCTGGAACGCCAGGGGCGCCAGGTGGTCCAGGGGGACCCGGTGGACCTGCAGGACAGTAGATGATCTATATAGAGATCGATACAAAATTGTGTGATATTATTATTACGTGAGCTAAAATGTTAATATTAGGCATTTAATTCCCGATTTTTCACATGCAAAATTAGAGGCTAAGTATGTATCTGAAATTAATTTCACATGTAAAATAATTATTTCTTATGTGGAATTGGAACACTTCACATTGAAATTTCGCGGTAAAAGAAAGATCTCATAACCTACATGCAATTTCTCTTTATATTTCTATTATATTAACTGCGTTGTCCCTTATCAACTGCTCTACTAACAACGGTACGACAGGGCACATTCCAAAAGCGTTATGTCATGAAATATAGATATGATATATAATATCGACTCTTAGATATACCAGTTACGTGGTTATTATTTGCTTTTTGTTTTGTCTTTATATTATGTTTTTTCCCCTTCCATGTAATGGCTCTTCTTGATATGTTGATAAAGCTCTTAGATACATAATTATAATCAGTTTTAATCAGTTCTAAGAGTTATAATTCTACTTTTAGTACTTCACATAACTTGATAGGTAGGCCAATAATAAGAAAGCTTCAACTAGCTTTGGGTTGATAGAGACGCAACTATACCTGAAAAAATACAAGGAGAATTTTATCATATTTATAGTAAACTTATTCTGAAGTTCTTCTTGTATTTTTCAAGTAGTTGCATTGCTGTCAATCCAAAGCTTTCATATGAATAATAATTACCACGTTTTCCACCTAGGAGATCGAAAGGCTCAAATCTCAACGGAATTATGTTATGTTATTTTATTTTGATACATACCCGCCTATATATAATCATTTCGACATTTAGCTTTATATATATGAGTCATCCGTTATTTTCCCTAGATTGAAATGGAGATGACAATTTTCTACCTACCTTAGAGCCGTCTTTAATCACAGAGCCACCGTGCGTTGTGAATTCTTTGAAAATTGACTCGGAACAATTTACGGCCGTTATCGCATAACTTGCGAAAATGGTGACTACACAAATTATCACAAAATACGTCCGCATGGCCGCCTTGTTTAAATCTAACAGTTCAAAAATTTGAAGATAAGAAAATCTAGTGAATGTAATTATTGATTCCAAAAGCATTTTATGCAATATAGATTTCCCTTTGTCTGCTCACAGTGGTGCACCAGTCACAATAATTTATGCAAAAAATTCCGATTATATTAAATTCCACGTGTTCGCGACAGGTCACAGGGCCATGGTCGGATAACGCTATCCACCGGATAGTGATTTTTTCAAGCTTTGTTAAATCAGTTGTTGATTGGTACAACTCGTATTAAAGTTTAGTATTTATAAGTTAAATGTTTTTTATACTTCTTGTCAGTGTCGTCTATATCCGTAGTTTCACAGTTTTTCAAGCATTTTACAAAGGTTGAAAAAACACTATCCGGTGGATAGCGCTATCCGACCTTCGTTCAAAACTTCACCTCGAGTACAGAAAATTATATCAATGGTATCCTCTTTACTAATAGTATAGTATCTATAATCTAAGATACCATTGACTTATCCTTGGGTTTCATATGACGTCACAAAAGTGATGGGGTCAACTCTTAAACAAAACACAGTTATCAGAGTGAGTCGATTGTTCGTTTTATTTATTAGCCTTGTGTTTGGTGACAAATACATGGAATTTCGTATCATTTTCTTACTCCAGTACAGCATAAGCATCAATACATTTGAGGTTCACCCCCAGTTAGATTCACTGCATAATGCCGTAGTGGCCAAGAATACGGCCATATTCGGCCATATTCAACGAACGATTGAGTGCACTCTGGCCCTGGGTTCAAGGTTACGTAATAAGGGACCGGTCATTAATAATGGGAAAGGAGTCGGTGGGTGATAAATACGAAATATTGAACATTTTTTGGGGGTTCCCCAATCGAAAGACCTATATGGGGCCCCTTTATTTTCAAGACGCCCTTACCTTCATCTAGAAAATTTAGAAACCCTCCCTCTAACATTTAATTTGTTACAAAGGTTCTATTTTTAATAAATCAGTTACTATAAAATTATACCAAAAGGTGTTCTTTGAATGGTGAACTTTTTTATTATATAGTAGAGAGTAATAATATGTAATATACTGAAGAAGATATCGATCACGTGACTTTTCCAATTTGCTTTTGAGCGTGAAATTTCACAATTTTTTGCTTGGGACTATATAATAAACAGAACATTACACGGTGGCTTGAAGATATGACTTTTATCTTCTCGTGTTAAAAACAGTATTTTACTCACTCGCTGCGCTCGTTCGTAAAATACAATTTTCACTGACTCGGAGATAAAAGTCATATTTTCGCGCCGCCGTGTAATATCCTCTATATATTTAACTTTAAAATTAATTTTTAGTTAAGAATAAGTTTTAAAGTTACATAAGACAGACTAATACTATTTGAGATGTATTTGAGTCGAATTTCCTGATTATTCTATTATATAAAGACCTATAAAATATAACATAATTATAGTAACTTTGTTTTATAATATGTTTGTAACATTAAAAAATTGGGGTCGCCCCTTGTTACATATTTTCCAGTTTGAGGCCCCCCTCCCCAATTCAGGCAAAAATAATTGAAGTCGCCCCCTT